GTTAGGGTTAAGGGTAAGTGTTATTGGTAAGGGTCAGAATTTTAAAACATGGATTTTGCTGCAGACATATTCTAAAAGTGTTCCAGCAGCCCCAAAAGAAGCCTCACAGGACCACCGGTAAGGAACCAAGCATGGCCCCAATCTTTAGACTGTTATTGTTTCACTTTTAATTTTTATTCAAACTAGTGACACAGAAAACCTTGGTTTGACTAAATGGAACCGAATGCAAAATCACAGCATTATCCTGAAGAGAGAGGGTATCAGGATAACAATTGACTGATATGACTAACTGATATTAGACATTGAAATTGGCTTAATGTGTTAGGCTATTAATCTAAGGATCTCTAGCTGTGTGAGTTCAGACCCTGTCAGAGGCAAGCCGTTATTTCCTTGAGCAAGAAACTTTGTAATCATTGCTTAGAAGTGTTTGGTTCCAGTAATTGATCCAAGAGCTTGGCTTATTACACATTAGAACTATAATAAAGTCTGTATAAACTAAAATTGGAAATATTTTATAAACTTGTCAAGAAACTCTTACTTTTAAGGTCACATGACTGAATTTTACTAAAATTGATCATAACCTTCTTTATACTGTTTGTATTGTACTCATGTATTGTATTCAATGTCAAATTATTGAATTTTCATAATTTCATAAATTAACCAAATCTTTGTTATTAATGAATGGATTCGATTCCTTTTTGGACAAAACCTTCATGTGCTGTAACTCAATTATGACCTTGACTTTTAATTGTCTGACCTTCAAGTACAAATATGAAAATTTATTTAGGGATGTTGTTGCCCAAGTGGTTAAGGTTGTTGACTTCAAATCACTATAGCCTCTCACCACTGTCAGTGTGTGTTTGAATATTCACACGGACTTTGAATTCTTTCCAGTGCCTGTTCATGCCTGAAATAATGCACAGAAGGGCATCTGAGGTCTTCTTCCACCAGTAAAGCTGGAAAGTCGTGTTATGACCTAAACAGTGTTGGTGCCACGTAAAAACCAAAACCAAACCAAAAAGATGTATATATACATGTATATAAAAGGAAATGAAAATTTATTTAGATTCTGTAAAAGTTTAATTTGTCATATAACTTTTATTTAGAATGGAGACCAGTTCATCAGAAAAAATGAACAATGTTGTGGGAGACGATTTATCGTGGGATCTTGGTAACAAAAACAGAAATACTGATGACAATTCTGAGAGATGCCTTACTAAGGACAACAAAACAGATTATACAAAAGAAATCAATGAATCTGTTAACTCCCAGCCTGCTGAGGAAGGTTATCAAGGTGGAGAAGGTATACCAGAGGGTGATGAAGGTGGAGAAGGTATACCAGAGGGTGATAAAGATGGAGGAGGTATACAAGAGGGTAATAAAGATGGAGTAGGTATACAAGAGGGTAATAAAGATGGAGTAGGTACACCAGAGGGTGATAAAGATGGAGTAGGTACACCAGAGGGTGATAAAGATGGAGTAGGTATACCAGAGGGTGATAAAGATGGAGTAGGTATACCAGAGGGTGATAAAGGTGGAGGAGGTATACAAGAGTTTGATAAAGAGAAACAAAATGAATCCCTGAGACAAAAATCTAATGAGGATGCTCTCATTCAAAATAAAGATTCACAAGATAATGGTACAAATATTACACCTAACATGAACAATGACTTTGATGGAAACCAGTATTCTCATGCAGTTGAAGTAAAAGATACACATACAACAATATCAGTTCCAGGTAATTTGGTGATTATTGATGTTACAAGTACACCATCAGAAAACTTGAAGGATAATGTCCAAGAAAGGCATGAAACTGGTCAGTCTGAAAGTAAAATGGAAGATACTAGTGAACCTGCAGGTACTGCAAACAGTAATAATTCCTCATCTAAGGAAAGGGAAGATGCTCTTGCAGCTTTAAGGCAGGGACAAACTTATGATGAAGATGAAGACTTTGAAGAAGATTATTTTGATGTTGAGAAATTTAACAAAGCCAGAGAGAAATATGTATACTTTTGGAAAAATTATGACATTTACAGCCAGTGGCATAAGTCAGAGTTCCAAGTCCATGGCAAGAAATTTTGTAACGCAGAGCAGTATATGATGTTCAAGAAAGCAGGTAAATCTTATATACATTGACAAAGAAGAAGAATAGTAATAGCTATACATTGTAATGTTTTTCTAATGCATGGCAATAAAAGTGGCAATTTATCACTTATACAAGGGAATAGTTGTTATTTGAAACTCGGCAAATGTGTTTTTTTCCACAAGTTTTATCTCCAATACAAACAAACATTTATGGTTATAACTCCATGGTGCACTGCTGTTCAAGCAGTTGCACTTATTTTAGAAGTTGTAACTGTGAATGTTTATTTGTACCCCAGGATATAGCTGGGAAAACACAAAATATTCTTATTTCTTAAGTCAGTCTATTTACAATTAAAATAGCCGTTTGCATGATTGTATATTAACATGTATGAGAATTTTTATAACAAATTATAAATCTGTTGCAAGGACATTAAAATTTCCAATTTTCTCATATTCATTAGAACAGACCAGTTATCAGAAAAGCATGGGAATTAAAATGGCCAGAAATCTTTGGAATATATTAAGTGACCTATTCTCTTGTAGATCTTATATTATTTAACTTAAATCATTTTGTAAAAAATGTGTTCCTTTGCTATAAATTAATATGTGATGTTAAATTTGAAATATTCTCTGCAGAGTTATTTGAAGATAGAGAGATTGCTAATCAAGTTTTGAAGTGCAAAGATCCCAAGAAGATAAAAGCTTTTGGGCGGAAAGTAAGGGGATTTAATCAGGAAATATGGCAACAGCATTGTTTATATATTGTCAAAGAAGGAAATAGGGAAAAGGTAAGCAATTCTTTCAGATAGATCATATACCTTTTGATGAACATGATATTGCTCATTTAATGTCTATCATTTGGCTAAAGATTTCCTGTAGTAATATTAATTGTTATTGAATATATTTATTTGAGAACAAATTGTGAATGATAAGAGGCTTAATGCACCTTTTTCATGCATTTACATCTGTAGAACTATGAGAACACATTAAAAGCTCACATCTGTAGGCAAGGGAATTAATTATTCTTAGGGTTCTTCAGGAAAAAATATACATTATTGCTACTCTTGCATAAAATTATATGTCTAAATCAGGAAATAGTATTTCCTTTTCGGTACTTTGTGTGAAGAAACCATTGCTTATGCTATGCTTTTCAGATGTCATTAATTTTGACAGTTATATTTTGATAATAAAACTCTAAGCTATAAGTTTTAAGCTCTTTTTACATTGCACCCTGAGTCACACTACATATAATTAAAAAAAAGTGCAACAACTGCTCTTGCCTTGGTCATGACAATCTAATGCATTTTTTCTTCTCTATTAATTGTTAACCTGCATGTGCAGTTTTTATACAGGAAAAAGTTATTACTTTTTGAATGATAAAGTATTACTTTGTTTTATATTTTTGAAAAACAAACAGCCAAATGAAATGATCACATTATTTTAGACTCAGCCTTGAAATCAGAAGAGGGTAAACTCTTAGAGCTGATTAGGGGAAATTACTTGATTTAAATTCACATTTATGAATTTTCTTAGTTGTTGATCCATTTTAACTAATATTTCCTAATATCATTCATAGTTTTACTATGTATCATAGGAAAACATATTATTGGCAATAAATAAAGTTGTGCTTTAAAAAATACATATATGCATGTACACCAGATTTGGAATATTTAGTGTTTTTTTAAGTTGTAAATTTTCATGTGTCAAAATGTTTTTGTGGAGAGATGAATATTTTGATATTGTGTCATATTTGATATTTTACTCTTTATGAAACAGTTTTTACAAAACAACGATTATCTGGCAGACCTACTATTGACATATCCAAAAGTTTCTTGTTTGAAGCTAGTCCATATGATACTATATGGGTATAGGGCTAACTGAAGACTCTCCGGAAGCTTGGGATGAAAGCACATGGCAAGGATCAAACTATTTAGGATATGTAATTACTGAGGTTCGAGATGATATAATGGTGGAACGTGGTATGATTGAAGACGAAGACAGACAGGTGAAGTGTTGATACAAATTCTTTGAAAATCAAGTTGACAAATACTGTAATATAAATTTTCATGTTGTTGCTGTATATTTACAGAGATTTAGATAACAGAGATAAGCAGCTCATTGTACTCCATTGAAATATCACTCATGCCTATCATATCTCTAATATGAGAGTACCTATGATAGTGGTTGTATGATGTATATTGTTGAATATTTTATCTGACAATCAGAATTCATGATATCATTGAAGTTTATTAGTCCCCTACCGGTTTAACGGGAGGGGACTTTAGGTTTACCCTCCGTCCGTCTGTCTGTCTGTCCGTCCGTCTGTCAGTCCGTCCGTCCACGAAACTGGATCCCGCGATAATGCAAAAAGTACTGAAAATATTTTTATGAAACTTGATATATGGATAGATGGCAGTATGGAGATTATGCATGTCTTTTTTCTTCTTCCTATGTTGGAAATTCTGGTTGCTATGGCAACAAATAGTCTGAAAATATGGCAAATTTAACACGTAAACTGGATCCAGTGATAACTCAAAAAGAACTGAAAATATTTTTATGAAACTTGAAATATGGGTAGATGGCAGTCTGGAGATTATGCACATTTTTTCTTTTCTTCCTATGTTGAAAATTCTGGTTGCTATGGCAACAAATCTTGAATTTCAAGATTTCTGATTTAAATTTTTCAGCTTTTTCACTATAAGTTCTTTATTTTCTTAAGGTGTTTACTTCAAACTTTAAAATATAAGTTTCCGATCATCAACCACATCATATGTGACAAGGTTTACAACTCTAGCACAAAAATTATCAGTATTACCTCCCTTGAACTTAGAATTTTTATTTAAAAAAAATGTTGTCTTTTTTTAAATAACTTCTTTATTTCCTAATGTACCTACATGTACTTCAAACTTCATATATATGTTTCTTATTATCACTCAATTTTTTTGAGAAGGTTAAATAATCTAGCAAGACTATTTCCAGAAATATGTCCCCCTTGAACTTAATTTTTTTTTGAGAAATTGGTATTTTTCACTCCAACTTCTTCATTCCTTATAGGATTTACTTTAAAATCCCACATCGTAATAATATGACAAGGTTGTATAAACATAATTTCCTTACTAGGCAGGGAAACTTAACACATTACTGCGATATAGACAAACTTAGAACTTAAAAGATTTAAGTTCATTCATGTCATTCATTCACTGGTAAAATTGAGTGGCCAATGGTCCATCAGAATGTTGCTGGGGTTCTAACCGGTAGGGGACTTATGGATTGCTATCAATACCATGGTAATTGCTTGTGTTTACAATAGTTGGCATCATTTTGAAGATAAATCATGAATTAAAGAGTAGTATCTACTTCAAAAACATTGACAAGGGTGAAAAATCAAATGTCTGTATTGCCGAGGTTGTCACACAGCCTGTATTGACAAGTGAATTTTTATTAAGAATGTACTTTATTGATATCAAATGAACAAGACAAAAAGATGAGTCAGATAAAACAGACAAATCAGATTTTTCCATCATAAATAGATAACCCTGACATTTGGCCAGTATAATTGTTTTAAAATTTTTTGCCAACAAACAAGTTTATGTTCTTGTAAGATAAAAACAGGACAGACTTTAATAATCTATTTAAATTTGGTAACTTGAATGTGTTTATGTTGACCTCATTTTTTTGGTCTCCAAAGGTTATTTTTACCCAGCTTCTAGATGATAGTTAAAATTGCTCTGAACACAGGCAACAAACAATGAAAAATGGTTGAAATATCAACAAAAGATTGATAAATCATAAATAGAGAAATTTTGTTTATTAAGGCTGATTTCTCAGGAGTTTTTAACTTTTAAATGAAAATGTTGAGTTTATCTACTGTAGTGTAAAAAGACCCTGTTCTAGATACCTCATTTCATGACCATGAAGTGAATTGGTCTGTAATTGTTGGTCTGCAATATAATGAATAGTAATGTTGATAGTATTGGATATAATACAAGTCAACAAATCAGGAAAGAAATATATATGAATGTTGTTGTAAGTGTGGGATACATGATTTAATATTTCATATCTTTATAAACTATAGCAGACATTGAAATGTTCTAGAACAGAATATTATTATTCATGGTGTATATGTACTTGCTGCATTATTTAGACCTGTATCAACATTTTTTAAAGAAATATTTCATTTGAATATCCAAATGATACATTTCTATTGTATTTTTTTATTATTAAAAATTTGCATGTGGCAAGAAATCAATCTTGTGCATATACATGTACATTGTATATAAAATAATGCAGCTAGCTTTTCACTTTCATTCATACATATGGATATTCTTACAGACAGACAAACATATTAATAAATTGTTTTACAGAAGTATATAGAAACATTGTTAGCAGCTTCAGGATACGCATATGGGTATGACAGTTACATGGAAGGAGGCGGAACAAGTCGAGGGAAGGCTGGACATACAGGTGGAAATACTGAGCATGATGAATACACAAAAGGTCATGATGCCAAAAAAGAAACATACTTTCTGTTTAACATGGGCATTTTCAGTCAGTTTTACCGATGTCACTTTGTGGTGGATGATGTACATTTTTCGTCTGCAGAACAATATATGATGTACAAGAAAGCAAGTAAGAATACTATAAATATTTTTTTTGCCCCCGAAGGGAGGCATTTTAAAATCGCACCGTCTGTCCGCTCTCACGGGACAGTTATAATGTGGCTAGAGGGACAGTAGGTAACAGTTCTTTCTCTTTGATGTCATTTATTCCATAATGCTTTTATGTGGCTATTTTCTTTTGTGTGGCTAAAAAGAACAATAGAGAGAACAATGGAGTAGCCACATTATTACTGTCCCTTCTGTGCGTCCCCACTTCATTCGTGTTAGGGCTGTAACTTTGTCATACATTGAGGGATTTTGAAATAACATGGCACAAATGTCTACCATATCAAGAAAATGTGTCATGTCCAAGAACTACGTCCCTACCTCAAAGGTCAAGGTCACACTATCATTTTGAAGTTTCACATTATCACAATTAGAGTTAATATGTACACACATTCGTTCCCGACTGTAACTTTGTCATGCATTGAATGATTTTAAAATAACTAGGCATAATTGTCTACCACATCAAGACAATGTGTCGCGTCCAAGAATTACAACCCTACCTCAAATGTCAAGGTCACACTAACATTTTGAAGTTTCACTTTATCACAGTAAGAGTTTATAGGTACACACATTTGTCACGACTAATACCCATGTTCCTACCTTCAATGTCAAGGTTACGCTTATAGTTTGAAGGTACTCATTCTCGCAAGAAGAGTTTGAAGATACACATTCATGTCCGGACTGTAACTTTGTCATGCATGGAAGGATTTTAAAATAACATGGCACAAATGTCTATCACATGAAAACGATATGTCGCGGCTAAGGCTCATGTCCGTCAGTGTGCCCCCACTTACACACAACAATCATGTCCAGACTGTAACTTTGTCATGCATTGAGGGATTTTGAAGTAGCTTGGCACAAATGTCTTATCCCATGACAACATTCCGTGGCGTCCAAAAACCATGTCCCTTCTTCAAAGGTCAAGGTCACACTTACATTTTGAAGGTTCAGGCTATCACAAGTAGAGATTTTAGGTACAATAATACAAAGAACAATATTAAGCAATTAGTTACTTTCATTCTCTTTTCTTTTCATAATACCTGCATGCTTAAGAAACCTTTTCGGGGGCATTTGTCACTTGTGTGACAGCTCTTGTTTTATTCTGTTATATTTCTTTATAACTACAGTCCAGGAGTTAATTTATTTTTAAAACTCAACAGAACAAGCATGTATGTAGACATGTATAAACAAACCCTAGCTGAACCAGTGGTTCATGATAAACTATTATCTTGACTTGGAGTTCATATTTTAGAATCAGTCAACATTGATCAACTCTTTTATAAATACAGGGCATTGAACATCTATATAGTATTTAGATATTTAGAGAATGATCATATTTAGCTTAGCATCTTCATCTACATCGCAATATTTGTTTCAAGTTTACTACAATCATGTAGTTAAAAATGTAAAAGACAAAAGAAAATATATTGCAAACATTGTAACCTGTTTAGCTCGTCTTGTATTGGTTATCAAGTGAAACCATTCTGATCCCTGCAGAAAGTCAACATGCTTAGTTTCAGTATTTCTTAGTACATTTAAATATTAACTTGTCCACATACATTGGCTATCAAGTAAGCCCTTTACTTATTTTGAGTAAGAAAACTGATATTTGTCAATGGGTGGATGGTATCATGTAGCAGGGAGTTTGTATCCTTCGTAATTGTTATACCAGTAATACTGCGCATTTATATTTAGAATTTATTTGAATATTTTAAATTTTTATTCCTTTACTGGGCAAATTTAATATAATCAGATTCTATTATTTGTTACTTTTTTCATCATTTGCAATATATATAACAAAAACTGTTACTCTGATAACTCTCATTGTATTTTTGTAATTACTGGTTACCCTTTCCTTGAATAAATTATTCTTCAAAATAATTGTTCCATATGTGATCTGGTACTGCAGTTTATTCTTGACAATATGGAATATCAATATGACATTCTGTCGAAAAATGCGGGATTATTATTAATTTATGACATAATATACTACCTTCAAAAATGTTAAAATTAATTAACCGGAGTTTTGGATGAGTGTACATTTAATACTAAATTTATTGAATAAGTTGAATAATATTGTTTTATTGAACAAGTTGGATAAATTTAGTATTAAATGTGCACGAATATAATATTCTACTATTCTGTTTTTCACTTATCCAAAATATGAACAGTTTACAGTCAAAAATAGTCATTTTACATTAGCATGCTTTAAAGCTACAATTGTATACATGTATAACGCAAATGCCATCACATCAAAGTGTTATTACACAAGTGTAATTTGGTATTCATTAAATGGCTTTATTACACTACTGCACCTTGGTTTATGTGAGAAATTGTTATATTAAAATGATGTTCAAACACAAATACAATTGAAGGTCTGTATATGTTATTAAATTTTTACATTAAAAACATAATTACAGTTATTCAGTTATCAAATACGTTTGGCATGATCCTGAATTTAGTGTTTTCTTTCTCTATGTTTCTATTTACAGTTTTATTATAGACTAAGGTAATATATAGTGAAATTTTATACATGTAAGACATATCAAAATAAAGATTAATTGCTTTACTTGATGTCACAATGTACAAATTTATAACATTTTCCTTGTATTATCATGTGATTATTAAGTGATCTTGGGCATGAGATTGAATTCATAACAATGCATGCCATTTCACATAAATGCAGTGTAACCAGCATTTAAGTGATTATAGAAAACCTGGCCTGGTGGTTTAGGTGCCAGCCTATCAACCAAAGGACTGTGAGTTTGAGCTCTATTGAGGTAATAACAAAAAACTTTAGTTCTTGTTACTAGATGTTCCAGGAAGCAGATTCCACATTTGCACAGATATTTTAAGCTTCAAGCTTTCTATACTATCTAACTCTTTTTAAATTAAAATCTTTAAGTTGTTGTCTATTTTTTTTCAATTAACAGTGTTGTTCAATGATGATAAAACTGCAAAGGAAATTTTAGCTAAAACTGAGCCGAGAAAGATCAAGAATTTGGGTCGGCAAGTGAAAGGGTTTGATGAGGAAAAATGGCGGAAAGAGTGCCTTCATATTGTCAAGAAAGGAAATATGGAAAAAGTAATGTCTTACAGATAAATGTTTTAATACATAGGGTGTCATATGATTGATTATGCCCCCATTAGGTAAAAACGGTTTCCGATCAATAACTAAAGAACCCTTAGGCCTAGGAACTTCAAACTTGGTATGGTGATTGGTCATGACCAGCAGATGACCCCTATTGATTTTGGGGTTAAGGGGTCAAAGGGCAAGGTCACATTGACCTTGTAGGTAAAAATGCTTTCCGATCAATAACTTAAGAACCCTTAGGCCTAGGAACTTCAAACTTGGTATGGTGATTGGTCATGACCAGCAGATGACCTATTGACTTTGGGGCCAAGGGGTCAAAGGTCAAGGTCATCAATAACTAAAGAACCCTTAGGCCTAGGAACTTCAAACTTGGTATGGTGATTGGTCATGACCAGCAGATGACCCCTATTGATTTTGGGGTTAAGGGTCAAAGGGCAAGGTCACATTGACCTTGTAGGTAAAAATGCTTTCTGATCAATAACTTAAGAACCCCTTAGGCCTAGGAACTTCAAACTTGGTATGGTGATTGGTCATGACCAGCAGATGACCTATTGACTTTGGGGTCAAGGGGTCAAAGGTCAAGGG